TGCTTTAAATGAAACAGCCTCTCTTCAAAACTGTGGTAAGGCCAGCCAGGTATAGCAGAGATCCCCATGTGCTGCAGAAAAGAAAGTGGCATTTTCTTTGGTACGGGCAGTCAGAACTGTGATTCTATTTTAGAAAGGGGTATTAATAAAGTGTGAATAGCTATAGTTTGCAAAATTGCAGGCAAAGTAAAGGTAAAGGTTCCCCTCACACATACAGTATGTGCTAGTTCTTCCTGACTCTACTGGGTGGTGCTCATCTCCATTTCAAAGCCGAAGAGCCTGCGCTGTCCGAAGATGTCTCTGTGGTCATGTGGCCGGCATGTCTAAATGCCGGAGGCACACAGAACGCTGTTACCTTCCCACCAAAGCTTTTGAACTGCTAGGTTGGCAGAAGCTGGGACAAGTAATGGGAGCTCACTCCGTTACGCAGCGCTAGGGATTCGAACTGCCAAACTGCCAACCTTTCTTATCGACAAGCTCAGCGTCTTAGCCACTGAGCCACCACTGCCCTTTCAGGCAAAGTACAGGCTGCGAGAAATACATCCTTTCTCCATAATCATTCCTCCCTCATCTTCCCCCACTTTCATTTTTAGTATGTATTTCTTTGCATTCCAAGACAAGGCTGTATTATAAATACTTGGGTGTCTCTGAGGCTACTGGCCTGTGCTGGGATTGGAGGCCAACGTAGTGGAGCAGAGGGAGAATCTGTGAAGGGTTAGCTATCCTGTCTGACACTGCTTCTAAGCAACATGCATTAGGAGAAGCAAATCCTATTAAAAGTATCTAGACATGGTGTTCAGGACATGGTGTTCACCATCACAGGGCTTCTGAATTATCTCCAGGATATAAGACTGAAACCTGCGCCATCAGTTGTGGCAATTTTGCCCGACTGCTCAACACCAACAGTTTTAACCTCACTGGCGAACTGAAGACGGCCATTTCTGAATCACCTTCCAGAGGGTGGGGGGGATTGAATTTTACCTCTGCCATAAGTTGCCTTGGTAGTCTTTCATTAATGTGTTTATTTTGTTTCCCTAAGCATAGTAATGGTTTTCCTTTTGGAGTTATTTTCTGTATTACTCCAACTTAAGAACTGCATGTGATATATTTTGTAGAAGCAGAAACGGTGCTTGTTATATCATGAGAAAACTATGTAACAATCCTGGATCCTGGTTGATGTCGGAAGTCAGCATCCTAGTGATTATTGCCTTGCCAACATTTTTTCCTCCTTTCCACTTTTTCCCAAACGTAGGGACCCCTGTGAACCGAATCCCGATCATGGCCAAGCAGGTGCTGGATCTTTATATGCTCTACGTTCTGGTGACCGAGAAGGGCGGCTTGGTGGAAGTGATCAACAAGAAGCTGTGGAGGGAGATCACCAAGGGCCTGAACTTACCCACCTCCATCACCAGCGCCGCTTTCACACTGCGTACCCAGTAAGTCACAGGAGGTGCCTTCCCCAACTTGATTTCAGGACAGGTCGAGGCATTTTAAGGAGCAATATTTGTATAGAGAAAGAGGAAGAATTTGTTTCAGTGGGAAAATGACTGTCATGCATGAAGACTATACAAGAATAAATGGAGGAATCTCTCCCAGTCCAGTAAGAAACAGATCCCAATAAAGGAGAATATTTGTNAACTGCTAGGTTGGCAGAAGCTGGGACAAGTAACGGGAGCTCACTGTGTTATGTGGCGCTTGGGATTCGAACCGCCTAATTGCCAACCTTTCTGATCGACAAGCTCAGCGTCTTAGCCACTGAGACACCGTGTCCCTTATAATTGATGTTTTAGTGGCACAGAATAAATAAATTGCATTTATTCAGTTGATACCCTGCTTCCCTATCAAAGCCATTTCTAAGTGAAGGCATCAAATGGAATCGAGCCTGGGATTGGAGGTACTAGATATAAGCTGGTTCCACAAGCCATAAGATAGTTTGGTTTTGTCGTACGTATGAATGGAGCCATTGCATTTGGTATATTACAGTTCATGGCACAGCGTGATGTATGAGCCATCTACTAAAGATTGTTTGAGAAATAGGAGTCAAAACAAGAAATAACGATTAGCACAGAGCTAAGCTTTAAGCCACCTTTCTTCCTCATAGCCTCATCTACATGCACCAGACCCCTATTTCCAATTCCTTTGCAGGGGTGGATTATGGAGATTTCATTCATTTATTTATTTTTAATGTTACCTATATGCAACTTTTATTATTTTCATAAATAACTCAAGGCAGCAAACATTTTCCCCACAACAACAAACCTGTGAGGTGATTTGGGCTGAGAGAGAGTGACTGGCCCAAAGTTACCCAGCCGGCTTTCATGCCTTAAGACAGGAGTAGAACTCACCGTCTCCTGATTTCTGGCCTGGTGCCCTTAACCACTATATTAACCAACATAGTGGGAAACTACCAAACTGAGAAAATCCTGGCTCACTGAACTACTAAGCAACCTCGAAGTTGCTTCCTTGAAACAACCCCAATGACCGAAACACTTTTTTATTTTTACAAATAGCAGCACTGACACCAAAAAAATAATGTCCACCAGCTATTCCCTGGGGTCACAAAAATACACTAAATTAAACTAAAATTTCCCAGAGTGTCTGCCAGGCATATACGTTTTACTACTAAATACAAATGAGGCTTAATGGTTTGGTTGCCTCCGTTCACTTATTGTGGGAAAGGCCATCCTATTAGGGCACATTTTAGAGACAGCTTGCTTAAATGTAGTATGCCCTGTGAAAATAGCAAATCGAGCTTTATTAATCTTGTTTTTAGTACGTTGTGGGAAGCCAGCCGTTGTATTAAGCTATGATTTAATCCTGCTTTAATTAATGAATTATAATTGTTTGGGTTGGTGCAATACCGCAAGCCCAAACCAGGGCTTCCTGTGCGGCACAAACCCAGGCTACATAGCATAATGTTGGAACCCGGTACTGAAATGTTACATCCATGAAGTTTTAACATTGGGACTTACACTTGGGACGACCTTCATTTTTGTGCACAACAGCAATGTATATGATGAAAGTAATGTCCTTCTGGGTTCGGCTCCAAGTGGGGAAAAAGACACTGGAGACATGGAGACTACTTGGAAAGATGGTTCCAACATTANAAAGAAAGAAAGAAAGAAAGAAAGAAAGAAAGAGAAGAGGAGCCTCACAAGGAAGAAGAATCAAGTTTAGTGTGTGTAGGTGAGCTCATTTCAGTTCAAAAAAAAGGTTTTTTAATGAAAATATTGTAATAAAACTTTAATTTTATGTCTATTTCCATTTATTTTGAGGTATTGCCTTATTTAACATAGTTACCTAAATTGTCAGGAAACGTGATGTCCTATGACAAAATGGAGGTCATTTTCGGATTCAGCGCACCAAGAAACATAAAGATTACGTGGAATAACCAAAACAGCTCTCGGAAATTTTTTTTTGCAGACCTGTGTAATTTCAGATGCAGAACTTTACTTCTCACAGCAATGGCAACTCCTTGTTAAAGCTCAGTATTAATACAAATCCAGATAGTAGCCATGGACAACTTCTTGTGGATCAAGTGTTCTCCAGGATGCAATAAGGAACCAGAACTGCATTTTGCTGCACAAATAGATCTCTCCTTCTAATGGTCAGGTTCCCTAAACAAATTTGGAGTCACTGACAAAAACAGTTTCCTTGTTACAGAACATTGCCATTTAGATGTGGCATTACATGCAAATAGGTGCATTAATATAGGAGACTGGGTTCACAATCCAGAAGGAACATTAACATTAAAATAATAAAGATGTTTTCCTTTTTCTTATACTTGCAGGCACATTCAAAACTGAAATTTTCTCTCTTTCTCTTTATTTATTTATTCATTCATTCATTCATTATTTCAAATCAATATAATTGCCTATCTCACATGCATAACTCTTGGAAGCTTACAAACAATTAAAACAAATATAACAATAGCACTTAGCCTTATATACTGCTACACAGTGCTTTATAGCCCTTTATAGCCTTAAAGCAGTTTACAGAATCAGCATATTGTCCCCAATAATCTGAGTCCTCATTTTACCCACCTCAGAAGGATGGAAGGTTGAGTCAACCTTGAACCGGTCATCACCAAAGTCCTGGCAATACAAAATATAAATAAAAACAAAAAAGAGGACAATGAAACAATTTAAAAACAAGAAGAAAATTATATGAAAGCATTACAAAAAAACATGAAACTCACAGGCCATAATACCATTAATCAAAATAACCTGTAAAGTTACTTATCAGCTCCATCGCAACTCCATGTCTCCAGGCCCCACTGGCAAAACTGTATTTTCAGGGCCTTGCAAAAAGCCAGCAGGAATTGGATAATCATATTTTCAGAGGTATAATGTCAGGGCAGAACGTGTTCCTTTCTTGAGTTCCACCAAAAGACAATCCCTGGCTGACGGGATTGGCAAAATGCCCCTCCTGCTGAACCTGATAGGACAAGTAGATATCATTAGGGAGCGAGCATCTCTAATTCATCCTCCCAAGTCACCTATTTTGAGACACCATCAGTACCTAAATGGTCTCCCTTTGAGCAGGCCAACAGGGAAGCTCAAAAAATAGATAGATAGATAATGCCCCATCTCAACCCAATCTCATCCATTCTCATCCTCAGTCTTTATTTTGGTGGATTTGTAGTCTGGAAGCAGAATGAACAACATGTAAACAAATCTAAAGAGGTTAATAGTGAAGCTGCAGCACAGAACTGCCAGGAATAGCAAGGGAGAGAGGAGACCAAATCACCTTGGCTGCCAGTGGAAGATAGATGATCTAAAGAATAGCAATGAGGCAAAAATCCTCTGCCAGCCCAGTCACTAGATAAGAAGTGCTGTTAAAAATACGGTCATATTTCTTGTGGACCAGGACCTGAGCCAACTGAAATATGAAGATCACCAGAACTTTCAGTGTTGTGGGGAGGATGAAAGCATGGTGCTGGTCTCAGACAGATGTGCCTTTTGCCTATGGAAGCAGCTTACATGCCGCTTATGTACATGCGCAGATGCACATCTGTGTATGTACTTTCATATATTTTCCTACCTCATTTTCTAGTTATAAACTGACATATTGGCCAAATAATTGAATGTTATTAATACAGGTTTAGGTTAAATTTAATTCTGAATAAAAATACTAGAATCTGTTCATTGCCTGTGCTTATTACTAAGGGCTAAATTAGGGTTATATAATTCAAACTGAAATCTGCCTGGCCAGAGTTCAAGTCCTGAAAAAAGGAGGAGTGGCATTGCTCTATCAAATCTTAGCTGTAACATGCCAGAATGTTCAGAAACGCTGTAATAACTGGCTAACAAATCCTTTTTAAAAGTTTTCACATTTTCAGAGATTTCCCCATCCAAATGGGTTAGGGGCGATTTCATATCCAAGAACCTCAGGAAAAAACAAAGACGATAGAGAGAGCTAGCTGAAGAAAGAAGGCCATATTTTATCATTGTCTCCACCTCCTCCCTTTAAATAAAATATTATATGAAGCATTTTGGATGCTTCACTCATGTATTTTACTGTTTATTTTTGCCTAAACACAACACTACCATCACATAGTAAACTGAATCAGACTCCAGAGTCACAATAAAAGGGCTTGAAGGGTGAGCAACAGGTTATCAATAGGATGTCACAAGTGTCCACCTACTCCACATGCAAATAAATATTGGAATGATTTGAAAATCATAATTCACTTACAGCTTTTCTCACTGACTACATTTTATTGCAGTCCTACGATGTATGCATTTTAGACTCCTATAAACACCATCCTGTTGACGATGCTCACTTCTTCTTGTAGAAACACACTACATATCTCCTCAAAAATCTTGCGCTTCAGTCACCAACTCTGCTCATCATAACAAAGCAAAGTCTCTTTCTATCTGTAGATGGCCACAAAATTAGAACTTCCAAAAAGTCATTTACACACAAATACACACAAGATCCATTCTGTGCATTACACTACAGGAAATCCAGTTTTATCCGTTTCTGGTTCTACATCCAGACAACCTGCAGCCAATCTTGACTGCCTGACTAGTACCTATGTCCTAGAGGTCTCCTGCTTGCTAATTCCTGGCCTGCTTACTTGGAGGAGAACTATGAACAGTCTCGGGAAAGCTGAAAAACAATTGGGACATAAGTAGGAGGATGGGCGAGTAAGACTGGAAAGCAGTATCTCTGGGAGCAGCCCTCCCAATCAAAGTGTTCGTTTTCCCCAAGCTATTTTTGTCTCCCCTGGATCGCTGGGGTAAAGCCTGAGCCGAGGTCACGATGCTGAGAGCACGTGGAGCCTCACAACTTTATCCCGGCTCTTTACTGCAGACTCCAGCAAGGTGCAAACAGACCGAGTCTTAACTGTGCTGTCTCACCTGCCCACGAGCCTCCCCGTCTCCCTCTTCCACCTCCAGGTTGCAAACCACCTGTTGGCCCGGCCGCCCGGGCCCGCCCCAGCCCCTCGTCTTCGGACACGGGGAGGCAGGCCCAGCCTGGAACGCTCCCTTCCCCGTTTCCCCCTTCTTTTGTCCCGAAGGGACCAAATCCCCGAGCAGCCCAAAACGGCAGGAAAGCTGCCACCTCCTGGGGGAGACGGCGGGGAGGAGGGACGCGGAAGAAGGGGACAGGCGCGCACGCACTGGCAGAGGCAGTGGGGCCGGGCCGCAGCCATTAAAGCCGCCGCCGCTGCCGCCGCCGGTGGGTGAGCGCCCTTTCCCGTCTCCGTCGCTGGGGGAGAGTCCCAGCTGCCTTTGCTCGCCCGCTGCTGTCCTCCCGCCGGCTGCCGCGGGCTACCTCTCGCTCGCTCGCCCTGCCCTGACGTGGCTGCCGTCGCTTCGGGGTGGGAGGCGGACAGCGGCAGGCGGCGCGGAGAGCAAACGAGAGAGCTGCTCCCGGCGGCGGTAGCAGAAGAAGCAAAGGATGCTCCGGTCGCCATGGCAGCAGCAGCGGCAAGAGGTAAGATGGGTCCCTTCGCTCGGCTGCCTGTTTTCTTCCAGCCTCGCCGAGCCAGGCTAAACGCGGGAAGGGGCAGCGGCTGGTGGTGGCGGTACGATGGCCTTGACCGGCGCAGCGGTCTGTGCATGGCGACTGTCTCCTCCCGCTCGCCTTGGCATTCTTGGCTGCTGGCGGGTCCTTTTCTTCTGCCCTGCCTGTCCAAGCCACGCTCTTGACTTGATTCTCTCTAGCCCTACCGAGCAAACCGACTGTCTGCCATAAGGAGTCGAACCTCCTCTGTCCCTAACTTAACCTTCCTCCTTGTTGCCCTGGCTTGGCTCCCTTCTTTGCTCCACCTCAGAGCTCCTGGTCTGCAGGAAAGGGCAAAAAAAGCAGGGGAAGGGGGGGACTCCCCCCTTCAATTTTCTCTCAGCCCAGACCTCCCTCTGCCCAGGCCTAGTGCCATAGCAACTTCTTGGAGGCCAGAGGCAGTTGCACTTTGCTTAAGGGCAAGATCAAAGGCTAAGGCATTGTGGAATGGGAAATTGAGGGGAGGAACCTTTTCATTTTTGCTGCCTTCCTTTTCCTAAGACTAGGGGATGAAGAGGAGCAGCAGGCCTCGAGTCTAACCTTATTAAGCTCCCTTGTTCATCTCCACCCTCCCCATCTCTCTGACTTGTTCCCCCTCATCTTCCTGCATCTTCCCTTTCAGTCAGAAGCCTGTGAGCGACTTGTTTCCCTAGTCACAAAAAAGTTCCCATCTGGAAATACAGCTAGGATAGTGGGAGGTGGCATTTAACAGGAAGCATATCGCCGGCAGAAGGCTTCCTGGAAACTATGCGGCAACCATATATCCCATACATGAAGGTGGAAAAGGCAGGAGAACTAGGGCATGTAACAATGTTGCCCAAGTTGTAGGAAACATCAGCAGGAAAGAAGTAATAGCTACTCTTGTAAATCTGTATTTAATGAAAGCTTTGTCGTTTTGGAAGACTGTGCAAAATAGCCCTAGAACTAAAGATAACCCATATCTTTATTGGCATTACATGTGAATAGCAGATACATGGGCTACCCATGCTAAATATAGACCTTAATGACACTTGAAAGTGGTCTGATGCTGGACCCATAATAATTGGAAAAGTTATCCATCCAGGTAATACAAGGGGAAAGAAGTTATTGCTTGTATGATACTAATTAGGAACACACAAGTAGCAATGCAAAGGGAGGTTGTTTACATCTTCTGTTTGCAGGCTCCTGAGATCCATTTGGTGGGCCGTTGTGCAAGACTGAATGCTTCCTAGAGGAACTAGGCCTGATCCAGCAGAGCTCCTGACCAAATATTACTGGTAGCAATAGTAATGAAGACCAGCAAGTAGATTGAAGGTAGCATTTAAAATTAGCCTTTAAGATGTTTGATTACCAGCAGTTCATGTTGTAATTCTTAAATTCATGTCTATTTGCATGATAGATTGTAAATGGATTGCTATCTATTTTGGGGGAAACAAATTTGGAGAGGAGAGAGACAGAGACAGAGAAAGAGAGACAGAGAGGAGGGGGAGGGAGGGAGAGGGATCCAACAAAACTATAGCCCTAGGAAAGTGTCTCTATTCCCTTCTTTCTTATTCCAGTCCATGTCCTGAATGAAAAACATTAAGGTCAGGGAAATCATTTAGTTGAAGGATGTTTTCCATCCAATAAATAAATAGGACAGATACCTAATTGTGGGCAATACCTAAGACAGAATGCAGCTTGCAAGAACTGAGCTGGAATGAGAGCGATCAGCAGGCTTGAGAAATAGTAGCATCATCATGGTGGGAGCTTAGGATAGGAACAGCATGTGGGCACTGAGAATTTATGAAATGAAAGTTTCAATTGAAGTAGCTTCTGCTACTTGGGGAATAAATGACTTGGCAGAACCAAGTGTGTGGTCACAAACATCAGTTGGGAGGCAGGTTGCATTAGCTTCAAAAGTAAGGAGGAAGGAAGAGTTGAAGGGTCCTTTGTGCTCCCTGAGCTTGGTTGTTTTATTGCAGACCACCACCACTGGATTTTTCTGGAAACCTGTCTGTGTATATAGTGCTATTTCATGTACCCTGTTTTCCTGAAAATAAGACCACCTCAGATAATAAGCCCAGTCGGACTTTTGAGCGCATGCACTAAAAAATCCCTCCCCCAAAAATAAGCCTTCCCCAAAAATGTTGCAACACAGCAGCAGCCATGAGGTGACCATGCTTGCCGACTCCTGCACCTGAAAAATAATAATATCTCCCCAAAAATAAGGCCAAACACTTATTTCGGGGGTCAAGGAAACTCAGTATGTAATTTGGGGGAGTGCTGTTTGAACTTCCTTACCTTCGTCAGTGCGGTGATGAAGAGCACCTATAGCAGCTATGTTTATTTGTTCTCTATATCCAGGGTCTCCAACCTTGGCAACTTTAAACCTCCAGAATTCCCCAGCCATCTTTGCTGACTGGGGAATTCTGGGAGTTGAAGTCCGTCAGGCTTAAATATCTTTATCCCTTCCTGATCTCATCTGGTTCCTATCCATTAATTGTTTATCTTCAGTTAGATTATTACAATGTACTCTAGGAAATTCAGAAATTGTAGCAGATCCAGAATATGGTGGCAAGACTTTAGTCAGGAGTTTCACAGCATAAGTATACTGTATGAAGTTTGCTCTGGCAAAACCCATTGATTGTCCATTAATTTCCAGATTAAAATCAGATTGAAAATAACCACAGTCAAGACCTCCTCAGTGGTGGGTGCCATATTTCTAGAATTTCTTCCCTCTTAAAGTTTGGACAACTCCCTTCCTGGTTTGTTATAAGAAACTTCCCCCTTAGGACTTCGCTTTTCAAATTGTTAATCAGATAGTTATACCTGAAGGTGTTATATTACCTAATATTTGTGGATTTTAAATTGTGTTTTGTGGATTAGCCAACATTGTAATTGTAATTTTGTTTTTTTGTTTTGTATTGCCAACTGCTCTGCAGGCCAATTTTACTGGCGGTAAGTAGGTTTTAAGATGAAAAATAAAGGTCAACTAGATGCTTCCAGGATGCTCATTAAAAAAAGCAGGAAGGTGATAGCTCTCTTTTCACAGTCACTCCCCAGCAGCTAATATTTAAAGCATTCTGCCTTCAGGACAGGACAGAAACAATATTAAATATTCATTCAATTTGTCTAGCTACTTTTTTTTAAAAAAAATGTTAGATTAAAGGCTATCATCACATTCAGATTTTCGTTTTTAAAAGAGTTTCCTACTATTGAGCCTAGCTGTCTCCAGCTAATAATATTTAGAAAGATACAGATATTTATCTATGCACATTTTTATATCATACATGATATCATATACTTCTGTCACATCTCTTTAGAAAACCGAAATCAATGAAATCTTTCTCTGTAGCAGAGATGTCCTAGCCCTTTAATTTGTTTCGGTTGCCTTTTTGTACCATATTCAATCATTGCTGTAGTTGAGACATAGTAATAAAACTATACTAAGCAGACTTTCATTATTTACATTATCTGTTGGCAATTTCATAATTTGTCTTTTCCTAGTTAGCATGAAATCACTTTTAACATTTCATTGATCTTTTCATTTGACCTACCTACCATGACTTCAAGATTCTCGTTGCAAGATTAGATTCTGTTAATATATAAGTGAAATTTTGATACTTTGCTTCAGTGTTTATCACTTTGCATTTACAATACACAGAATGTATCTTAAAAACCCATTCAATTTTAGAAAGAGGCCTTTGAATCTTTTTGCAACCCCAAACCTCTCTTTCATTTTATATGATTAGCAACTTTAATCATTTAAATATCCAGGAGTCAGAGATGAACAGTTAATTCAGGGATCTCCAAATTTGGCAACTTTAAGGCTTTTGGACTTTAATTCCCAGAATTCCTCAGTCAGTTGTGCTGAGGGAAATTCTGGGAGTTAAAGTCCACAAATCTTAAAAGTTGCCAAGACTGGAGACTTCTGAGTTAACTGCTCCTCCCTGATTCCTGAGCATTTAAAACATGGTTTTCTAAAAAATATTGATCACCAGATAGATAGATCCTTGGAAAAATGTTTTTCCCTTCAGTTCTATTGCTTGCTCCTGGTTTAATCCATGGGAGACATTGCTGTCCTCATCCAAGATTGTTATATTGCTCAGTTTCCTCTCTGCATTTATGTGCATTAAAATGGGACACAAGTGACCAAAACGTTCTCTTAGCTGAATCCTGTTAATCTGGGCATTTTAAAGAGGCTTGCACAGGACTTTACAGAACACTGCAATAGATGAACCAAAACTGCATATTGCCACTCTTCATTACCCATAAAATCTACTAATCAAGGAGAGAAGCAAGGTAGAACTAAGGAGAAATTTCCTGGCAGTTAGAACAATTAATCACTGCAACAACTTACCTCCAGAAGTTGTGAATGCTCCAACACTGGATGTTTTTAAAAAGAGATTGGCCAACCATTTGTCTGAAATGGTATAGGGTTTCCTGCCTGAGCAGGGGGTTGGACTAGAAGACCTCCAAGGTCCCTTCCAACTCTGTTATTCTATTACTAGCTTGCCTTGCCTTACAGTAGGCAGAAGAATAGTTGGGCCTTATCAGACTCTAGGAGAAGATTGAGAGAATTACTTAAGAAATAGAAGTTAGGATGCTTTTCCTCTTCACTAGAAGCTTTCACAAAACTGTTTTTGTTTGAATTTTCCTGGGGTGCAAAAAGCAGATTACAATAGATCCTTATGCCATGACATGTGACTGAATTCAGTCTGTAGGCTTCAGTGTTGTATTGATCCAGTGTTGTGACACAATAGTTTTTCTTCTCCATTACCTACTCATTTGTGTGGGTGGATGACTAGGAATGGTTTCTGTGAGGGCAGGAGAATAGACAGGAAAAAGGTATCTTCTTGTGCTTTTTTTACATTTTCCCTTTTTTCTTCTTTTTACAGTACAACTGGTTCTATAAATTCTAAATGGCTAAGGAACTTGGGGAAATTAAAACCTTTCCTGCAGTTGTTGATTGGGTATCTATGGATTCCAGACCAGAGGACAAGGTTTGGTGGATAGCCAGCCCAAGTGCCTGGCAGAAAAGCAAAGGAAGTTGGTCATGTGTGGTCATTCAACAGCTCAGTCATGTCTTTTAAAAGCCAAGACTTTCATCCTGCTTCCAAGTGAACTCTTCCAACCCTGTCCCACAAGAACCCTTTAATTTTTATTTAACAATTAACAACATTAATTCATCTTGGAGAGGCAACGTCAAATGAGATTACGGACAGAAGTTAATTTTTGAAGACAGAGAAAGCAAGGCAGCAACAGAAGAAAAGATGGCAACAGGGAAAAAAATCTTTATCGTTTATTTACTTAGTTTTCTTAAGATGCACTATTCATTGACACATTTGGTGGCAGCTTAATTTTTTAAAGGAAATTTTAGCAGTAATCTGAATGATAAAATGAATAGCACAAATATATAACACGCCCAAAAACTATTATCGAAGCCTATAGTAAATCAGCAATTATACAGATCAGTAATTTAATACATGTAACATCAAGGGACCTTATATTTTTCGCCCAAAAACCATGTTGGACAGACATAAGTTAATATCCTTATATAGAAGCTGTTCACTAATAGTGGTCTTTTCTTTTAAGAAAATATAGGAATCCTACAATTCACTGAAGATGCTAACTTTCCTTGAAAACAAAGCAGTGTCTTCACAGCAAATAAGAGCAATTCAGCTTTGTATTGTCAGGGCCTAGCTTTTGCTCTATACAATTCATTTTTCTGGAATAAAAATATTTTTCTTAAAAAAAGAGAGAGAAAATAATCAAAAGAAAAAAGAGATGAATCAGAACCATGTCCGAGAAACATACGGATCGGAACAATGTACAGTAATTTTAAAAGTGCAAGGGATGTAGGTGAAAAGAACAACGAAGAGTGAAGAAAGACATTATATGCACTCATGGCAATAGCTAGACTTTTTCTGCACCCCTCTCCTGTTTAGGAGATAGGAGGAAGGAGGAAGTAATCATTGGGTTCTCTCTTCTGTGTGGATTCATATCCCAGGAAGGAGGCTGCACAATGAATCGTGGAGGCGACAGCAGCTCCATGGAGGAACTGTCCAAAGCTACTCTGCACACTAACTCACTTTGGTGGCTGGCTTGTGGGCTTCTTGCGCTGTTAGCCAACTCCTGGATAATCTTGAGCATCACAGCGAAGCAACAGAAGCACAAGCCTCTGGAGCTCCTGCTCTGCTTCCTGGCAGGGACACACATTCTCATGGCTGCAGTGCCACTTACAACTTATGCAGTGGTGCAGCTGCGACGTGAATCTTCTGACTACGACTGGAACGAAAGCATTTGTAAGGTCTTTGTCTCTACATATTATACGTTGGCCTTGGCCACATGTTTCACCGTGGCCTCTTTATCTTATCATCGTATGTGGATGGTAAGGTGGCCAGTCAACTATCGGCTGAGCAATGCCAAGAAGCAGGCTCTGCATGCTGTGATGGGCATCTGGATGGTCTCCTTCATCCTTTCTACGTTGCCATCCATTGGCTGGCATAACAATGGAGAACGTTATTATGCCAGTGGTTGCCAGTTTATTGTCAGTAAGATCGGCCTAGGATTTGGTGTGTGCTTCAGCTTGCTTCTTCTTGGAGGCATAGTCATGGGCTTGGTGTGTGTGGGTATTACTTTCTACCAGACCTTGTGGGCACACCAAAGGCATCATAGATGCCATCACCAAAGAACAGAAGAATCCTCTTCTTGTCCTTCTTCAGTTCACAACACTTTCAATGTGCCAGCCATTGTAGTAGAGGATGTCAGAGGCAAAAGAAGATCTTCACTGGATGGATCTGAATCTGCTAAGACTTCCATGCAGATGACCAATCTCATCAGCGCAATTGTTTTTTTGTATGACACGCTGACTGGTGTACCCATTTTGGTAAGAAATATCCCTTCCTATTTTTGACCTGTTGTTTTGGAGGATCTCTAGAAGGCATAAATCCAGCTGTGAATCCTTAATTTCTGTTAGGACTGACACAACCAAAATCACTTTAACAAAGCAGTTTGTTAAACTTGCATATACAAAGACATTTCCTGAAATAAAGACATTTGACATTCTGAAATAGAATGGTAATAAGAAGCTTTTGAAGTATATTTCAGATCTGTCATTTTTCATTATCTCTTTAAAATTAGCCATTCCTGGCAAAAATTGTATACCTCCTAGAGCCCCTGGATGAGGGAGATAGATGGGAAAGAAAAGAAAGAAAGAAAATAAAGAAAGAAAGAAAGATAAATAGGTTGATTTATTGATTCATTTATAGTCTTCAGGGACTGTGTATATCAGTCATAGATTGTGTCCTTAGGCCTAGTTCCTAACCATGCACTACACTAAGGAAATACCAAACGCCTTAATAGTATTTCAAAAGGAACCTATACACCAAGTAGGGTGGGGTGATGGTGATGGATGGCTATACATGGATGGCTTTGAAGAGTATGCCAGGAGTAACACTGCAAATTAATAAAATTTTTGATACATTTTTCTGTCTTGTTAAAAATTATAATTGGTGGCCATCTCTGGAGAAAACTGGGGATTTCACTCAAGGCTTTGGGGACTCTGGGACCACATGTGGTACCCAGGTGTCTTGTCCATGGAAGACACATCATCTGGCATCAAGGATGGCTGCTCTAATCAAAATTGTGTTCTGGGTGTAGTAATTTGTTTTTCATTATAAAAGTAAATAGATGTCATGGGTGGATAGAAAGGAAATACAGGTATTCTAGGACATTTGGGGTGGGGGTGGGAGTAAGTACTTAAACTGTCTTAATGTCCTTAATGCCATTCTGGTCTCCTCTCAGCAGTGCTGAGTATATCTTAATAATCCATTGTATGTATATGTATATCCCTTTTGAGATATATCACTGCATGTTTGATGGTTTCATTCATGCTGGACAAAAATGTTTGAATCTTGAGAGCTGTTTATTTCTATATGTCCAAGAAACCAGGGCTAGATAAAAGTCCATATTTATTGCTAGACCACCTGATTGACATGTGCTAGATCAGCAATTATTTAACAATAGGAATAATGAAATTCCTCTATTCTAAATCCTAATGTTAATGTGAAACAAATCTGAGCAGGTGGCAGCACTCAGCCAACCTTGACAGATGGCAGAAGATAAATATTTGGCCAGAGGTAGCGCCTGGCGATGCCAAGATTGTTGGTTAGATGGAGAAGTAAAAGAAAACCCAGAAGAAAACTATAGAAATCCACTTCTGCTATATTGCTAAGGAGACTGCATGGATGTAGTATCATTTGCTTTAAGATGCTTTGAGGTGTGGCTGAATTCTAAATTAAATGTTTTAATAAGTGCTTTATAATTTTATTTTTTGAACTTTTTTTAAATGCACAAGTTGTTTTTTACATGTATGTCTCAGTCATAGTAGAAAATCCCTGCAATTATCTCCAAATATTCCTTGTCATTTTTTCAGAAATTCCAGACAGTCAAGGGATAGAGCAAAGATAACCCTTTACATTTATGGGTTTTTTGCCCCCGCCCCCTCAATTTCAAGACAAACCTGAATTGGTTTTTTTTATGCCATGGTTTTACAGATCACTTTTAAAAAAACACAACACAGAATTCCTTTACCACTCAATGTTTCAGTGAATGGAAATAAGTTAAGGTCTTCCTTCTTAAGAATAAAACATATTGCAATTGTCAATTTCAATGTATCTCTTGAATTTTCATTCACAATGCACAGTTACTGATTTTGTTTTTCTCATCCAGCAAAACAGAGTTGCCAATAATTAAAGAAAAATGGCAGGAAACTTTACAGGAAACATTACTAAATGGATCTACTGTTAATTGGAATTTTAAAATAATATAAAATATTTCTTAAAAATATCAATAGCATTTTTTAGGGTATAGATATCCATGGAGATTATTTTTAGGCACTGATCCGTGAGGTCACAAGAATTATCTGGTGGTTGTAACATCTGTGCAATCATGTGCCATACATCATTTGAGATAATAACACATACTTGTTTAATTTTCACAATAACCAACATATTGCTATATAAATGCTATAGGGAAAACAGTATTTTCTCCATAGAGATAATGATTAAATCCAGCAGAACAAATCAAAACTGCAGACTTCTTTCATAAAGAAAGAATGCAGAAAAGTAACTGAGTATGACCAGAGTAACTGAGCTATTAGGATTTTCTGTAAGGCAATTACGGTATGCTGGCCCTTTGCTGATGTCACTTGATCAGCTCTTGCTGTTTACTTGATGATAGCAATAATTAGAATTATTTTCTTTACAAAAATAATTAAAATTCTGTAATGTGTTGTAAGACAATAGCCAGCACATACTGAAATTATTTTCCAGACATACAATTTCAGCTTCTGCATATGGTGAACTAGCCATTAGGAAGCTGTTCACCAAAAAGTATTTGCGAGCGTTTCCCGTCCCTTGTAATGCTGGAGTAGAAAACAGGCAATAATTTAAAAAGTGTGCTGAGGGTGGTTGCATTTGCCACAATACATGTTTATGTTTAGCTATGTTTTCACTGATTCAGCTGATTGGTTTTTTTTGAGAATATTCCATTTGCAAAGCCTATCAGTACTCTGAAAGTTAAAAGAACATGAGTAGCATTCCTGTCTTAGCTGTCTGAGAAATTTTCTGATAGTCTCTGGAGTGTTCTACCATGAACAGGGAGCCAACTGTGGAATTTTACTCATGCCAACTCTTATCTCTCCTTGTTTTAGGTGGTCAGCTTCTTCAGCCTACGCTATGACACTGCTCCCACCTGGATGGTGCTGGCAGTGCTCTGGTGCTCCATGGTGCAGACGCTGCTACTCCCATCATTCATCTGGTCTTGTGAACGTTACCGGGCAGATGTCCGGACTGTCTGGGAACAATGTGTAGCAATAATGTCAGAAGATGATGGGGAAGACGGTGAGCAACCTACCCACTTCAGTCTTTGTATGATATATTGAGGAAGCCTCATACTGTGAAGAGGGGCGGGGAATAATCACAAGCTTCAAAGGTGTGAAGTGTGAGATCAGCAACAGAATTAGGTATCCTGTCAGGAGATTCATCAGAGGAGCAGCTATCTTTTTATCTGTTGCAAATTTGCATATTTTAGATGGTGTTTATGTGTCTGTATTAATTCTCACAGAGTGGCACCTTAAATAATTCCTAAAATTGCAATGTTTTCCACAGAGGAAAATAAAAAAGTTCCTTACTTTCCCTTAGTTTTAAGGATGAGGGCTACATTAACATGTTATTAACAGTTTGCAAGAGTTTTTGGAATCTTTATACTCAATCCCTTCAGCATGATATGCGCAATCAATTTCCTATCCAATCCTGCCATTTCCATATCCAAGACAGGGAAAGGAAGGCAGTAGGTCTAAAGAGTAAATCCTTATTCCTAGAAGCCTGGAAGCCAATCTGTTTCTGCAATTATAAAGTCAAGTACCAAGATGAAATTTAAAAGACAGTATTGCCATTTGTGGCATTCTCAATGTTAAAATATATGACAACATGTTACTGAAATCAAATTGTAGAAAATCAATTGATCAGATGACATCAGCTAATATTCAGGTAAAATATCTGAAAGATCAAATTTACACATGTGCTTTTTCAATAACTAACTTTAGAGTTCTAATCTAGAATGTGATTCTAGTATAGTATAAATCTTTATTACGGTCAAAGACCAGCAATATACATTATTTTTTACAACATATTTAAAAGTACTGACATTAAAAGTGGATAATAACATACATGTTCTCAAATTGTTCAGGTCACTCTCTGGTTTACATGGGTGAAAAGTCAATACATATGGGAGTAAAAACAATGGTCCAGAAATTGTTAGAGATATGTCCAAATAATTGGTACACGATGACAACTATACTTCTGTAACCAATTTTTTTCTTGTGGACATTGCAACAACACAGAATTTTGCCACTGCATACGTGGTAGCTGGGTTTGTGTCCTGGAGGAGAAAGCCTACCTAAAAATTGTCTTCCCTCCCTGACAATCTCTCTAATAAGGGGAGAATATATGCAGACCTACAAACTCTGAGAATGTGATTCTAATCACATAACCCTTATTTCATTTCCCCCCGCCCAGCACATACCATGCAGATAGTTGTATACTGACTCAACTATCTTAAGAGCAACTATCTTGCTCTTAACAACATTTATTAGTTGTATACACTTAAACAAATACTAGATTACTATAAGTCTGGAGGCAGAAATGCTGTCTCTCCATTTCTGCTGTTCTTAATAGATCAGTACCAGATTAGGATGGGACATGGTGGCTTAGTGGCTAAAACACTCAGCTTGTTGGTCAGAAAGATTGACAGTTCGGCGGTTTGAATCCCTAGTACCGGGTAACGGAGTGAGCTCCCGTTACTTGTCCCAGCTTCTGCCAACCTAGCAGTTCGAAAGCATGTAAAAATACAAGTAGAAAAATAGGGACTATTTTGGTGGGAAGGTAACAGCGTTCCATGCGCCTTTGGCATTTAGTCATGCCGGCCACATGATCATGAAAACGTCTTCAGGCAGCGCTGGCTCTTTGGCTTTGAAACGGAGATGAGCACCGCCTCCTAGAGTCAGGAACGGCTAGCACATATGTGCGAGGGGAACCTTTACCTTTACTTTACCAGATTAGGACATTGTAGGCCTATGTCTTTGTCTGAAGCTTCATCCCATGATCCTTCCCCAAACTGCTGAGTTGCTTGTGCTGATTAAAGGTTAGGAATAATGCTGACCTTATAGGCATCTTCCATAATCAGTTCTTAGACTGGATTTGGACATCCAGTAAAATTATAGAAATCCTAGTAGAAAAATAAATTCACATTTGCACCAAATGAGACAAGAATTAACTCCAATTGTTCTACCCAAGAAGGGCCATTTAAACAGGAAATCAAGGAATTGAACATAATCCAGCTTGTTTATTGCTTAGGTTTCTCAGCAACCTCATTGTGTCTCCGGACACAATTCAAGGTGTTGGTTATCACCTTTAAAGCCCCACATGGCTTAGGGCTAGGGTACCTTCGAGACCGCCTGCTGCCACATACCTCCCAGCGGCCAGTAAGATCCCACAGATTGGGCCTCCTTCAGATGCCGTCAGTCAGACAG